GTTCAAGTCGGGTGTCTATTTTGACTCCATCAGACGTCGAAGACTTCCTTCACCTATTGGAGAAACTCACAAATGTGGACCGATTCTCAATCACGGCGGACTGCAGCTGGAAAGGCGAAGAAACAGCAAGACCCAAGGACGTACACGATTCAAGGAACAAGGCTCGCCGGTAGTATTGGTGCCCGCGCTAATTAACGGATGTGGCCTGATCATCCTCCGGATCCGTTCGAAGTGTCAGGTTTTTCTTCGTAAGGGAAAACTTGGTGTTGAGACGAACGTTACGGTACCGAGTGCAATATAGAAGGCCCGATTGTGCTTGCAGCACGTCTGCAACCAATGTTAAAGGGTAAACCAACCATTAGGAGCTAGAAAGACCCCGTTCGACTCGGGGCCGAGCCATGAAGTGATGTGCGAGTCGAGAATCATTTTGCTGGAAAGAGTTTATTATGAGTGATGACAGTTCAAATGCACGACACGAACTGAGAGTAAAACATGGCGGGCAAACGAGGGGATTAGAAACGGTTGGATCTGTATGAAGGGTGGAGGACGCAGCCAGTGAAAGTTTCTCTTCGAAGCTGGAATCAAGAGCTTGCTGTGGTGTCAAGATGAGCGTACCGGGTTCCATCCAACAGCCTAGTTGCGCTTGAGGCGCGTCTGCCCTGAATAATCAAGCAAAGTGTTATCAAGCAGAGTGACCCCGTTCGATTCGGGGATAGGCTATAAAACCTTAGCGGGTGAGTGTTTTTGTGTCCCAACCTGAACTTTTGGGTGGAACGAACGTGTGGCGAGTTCCGTTGGTTCCTGTGCAGATTGATATTGATAAGTAACAAGGCCCACGCAGAAATTGCTCGTGCGCGAAACCAATGATCAGGGACACGAGGACGTACAAAATTCAAGGAACAAGGCTTAGCAGTGCTAGTGCTTGGAACAGGCCAGACTAATTAACGGATGCGGCCCGATCGTCTCGGAAGTCGCGAGGTACACATAGCCTTTCTGTCTTGTTAAGTCACGAAAACTCGGCGTCGAGACAAACGTATCGAGTGCAGTATGCAAGGCTTGGTTGCGCTTGGAGCGCGTCCGCAGTACATGGGTAATTACGAAGAAATCGTCAGCGGAGCGACCCGTTCGATTCGGGGCCGGGCCATATGTAAGTGCGAATTAGTTTTGGTTTGAAAACCTCAAATAAACTAGCAGCACTTTTGGTTTTGCTACCGCTAGAGGAGTTGAGGTGAGAATATGGGCCGAGGAGGAGACCTCACTGAACGTGCCCTAAATCAAGGCAAGGAATAAAAAATGTGGTGTCGAGACGAGCGTCGTACCGAGTGCGATATGCAAGGCCGTGTTGCGCTTGGAGCGCCTCTGCAACAGATAGGATATCCTCATTGCTGTTAGATAGCGGAGCGACCCCGTTCGACTCGGGGCTAGGCCATGTGGGGGCTGGTAGTTTGTTTTGCTTGAGGGGCCATGACCCTTGGAACGAGCGAGCACCAGGTCTTTTTTTTACGGAAGAAAAGGAGTTCGACGAGAACCTGGTCGGGAGGAGTTCATCGATATCGAACGGGCCCTAACCAGGTCAAGAAAGAAAAATGTTGGATCGAGACGAACGTACCGAGTGCGATATGCAAGGCCCGGCTGCGCTTGGAGCGTCTGCAACATATGAGTAGGAGTCTTCATTGGACAGCGGAGCGTCCCCGTTCGACTCGGGGCTGGGCCATCACATAATCTTTCCACCTATTTTTTTTGGTTGCATTCCTCACTGGCGAGAGCCATGCCTCAGTTCACGAATTGCATATTGTGAACAAGAAGGGTGGTGGCAACGGTTTCAGCGGTTGAGCCTCTAGATTTATTCGTCAGGCTTGTGTTGGCGAAACTCAGCATGGAAAACGAGCTACTCCGTTGGATAGGGAAGGCCCGGTTGCGCTTGGAAAGTGGGAGCGCGTCTGAAAAGTATGTGTGATGTTGTCGTCTCGGGCTCGAGCCCTAGTCGTGAGGTAGACGTGGCTCTTTTTTTGCTTCGTCAAGTCTGAGAAAACTCGGCGTCGAGAGAGCGCACCGAGTGCAATATGGAAGGCTTAGTTGCGCTTGGAGCGTGTCCGCAGTACATGACTGAACAGTGATTGGCAAGAACTCGTCAGCGGAGCGACCCCGTTCGACTCGGGGCTGGGCCATAGGACTCCGAGGTGACCATATTCTTTTATTTTCTTGAAAGATTGGAGGCCTTGGGACGAGCTCGCAGCAGGACAGGTTTTTCCACCGGGTTCTACGAGACCCTCACCTCAACACATGAGAGAACTTGGCAGGGCGAGCCCTATAATAAATCAGGGTAAGGAAGGAAAATGTGGTGTCGAGACGAATGGAGCGAGTGCAATATGGAAGGCCCGGTTGCGCTCGGAGCGCGTCTGCAACAAATCATCCAATCGTCGTTGGCAGCGGAGGGACCACGTTCGACTCGGGACTGGGCCATGTCATCGGTACGCCACCAATTTTTTCTGGGAAGATTGGAGCCTTTGGGACGAGCTCGCAGCAGGTCATGTTTTGCCCCCGAGTTTTGATGAGAACCTGAACTTGATTCAGCGTGCAAAGAAAGAAGCAAAGAAAATGAAGCAAAAAACGGGAGGAAACGGGGGGAAAATCCGTTGTCGAGCGGAACGTACCGAATGCAATATGCAAGGCCTGGTTGCGCTCGGAGCGCGTCCGCAGTACATGAGCTCTGTTGATACCATCAGCGGAGTGAACCCGTTCGACTCGGGGCTGGGCCATCGGGGCGATTCAGAACGTTTTTTTTTTTTTTTGTTTGAATTCGTGGAACGACGTTTGGTTTGGTTTTGCCAACGCTATTGAGGAGGGGCTATTCCATTCATTCAACCGGTCCTGGAATTAAGTAAAGAGGGTGATGGTGATCGGAAAATCGGTCTCGAAACGAACGTACCAAGCTCGAGAAACAAGGCCCAGTTGCGCTTAGGACACGTCTGCGACGAATTTGAGATAAGACTCTCGATGAAGCAGAGGACCCCGTTCGACTCGGGGTTGGGCTGTGGAGGGTACACGACCATTTTTGATTTTGATTTTAATTTTAATTGAACCCGCGCCACCGCGGTCCAAGTCTTCTGTCCAAGTTCGCCAGTGAGCCTGAAGCATACCGGAATGCCAAGTGTCGGTGGATGAATTCGAGCGAGGCCCGGAGGCGGATATTTTGGTCCAAATACAAGGTACGGCGGTCTAGGCCCAGGGGATCGAAGGCAGAAGCTCAGAAGTCGAAGCTTCTGTTGAACGCACATTTCAGTGAGATTGCGGGGAAAACTTTCTAGCCGGCCGATAGACGCGGGACCTAACACAGACTTCTGCCCTTAATATCGCTGCACGCCAAAAGGATGGTGGTGGTTGAGCGGAGATAGGCACAACCACATCAAAAGCTTTGTCATCCGCCAATCCTGCTCCTTGTGTCCTGCTCTCACTCATCTCCTCGACGAGCAAGATGATTCGGTTCGACACCCTCCCGCCCGAGGTCATGCAGGCCATGTGCACTCCCATGCACCAGATCCTCCCCCCCGCCCCGCTCGCCCCCGCCTCCTCGATGCCGCACCCCTCGTCCTCGTCGCCCTACGCGCCCTACCCATCCCAGCAACAACAACCCCGCATGAGCGGCGCGCTCTACCTCGGATCCCTCTCCGCCGTCAACGACCACCCCCTCCTCCGCGCGCACGGTGTCACGCATCTCGTGCAGGCGCTCGAGGCGCCCTGGGCGCCTCCTGCGCGGAAGGAGGACGGATTCGTCGCATATAGTATTGATATACGGGACAAGGAGAGCGTGGACCTGCGGCCGCATCTCGAGGCGGCATGTGTGTACATCGAGCGCGCGCTCGCGCGGGGCGAGGGCGTACTGGTGCACTGTCAGCAGGGCGTCTCCCGGTCGCCCTCCATCGTGATCGCGTACCTCATCCGCAATCACGGTATGTCGTACGAGTCCGCGCTCGCCTTTGTCCGGCGCAAACGCGCTTGTGTGAAGCCCAATCCGGGCTTCGCGCGCGCGCTGGTGGAGTGGGAGCAGTCGTGGCGGCGGCCGCAGGCGGTGAGGCGCTTCACGTCGTGAGCGCGAGCCTCGGTCGGGATCGGGCGGAGAAGGATTTACGGTACGTCTCCTGTTCCGTTCGGGGGGGAACTCATTAATTCATCCGTTGGATAGATGGCTTGGCCTCCGCGCGTCGCGCCACCTGTCCATCGTTCCATCCATCCATCCACCTGTCCATCGCTCGCCCCGTGCCTATCTATCGTTCCTGCCCCTCTGATCCATATCTCATCTGACGCCACATAACTCAGCCCACACGACCCCTGCACCTCGTGGCGGATCTCCGGCACGCTACCCGACCCCTCCTCACGCCGGCACGCGATCCGCTGTCCGCATCTCATCTACATATCTAGATGATCATCTATCTCTCCACCAGCTTGCATCGCGCACATCTATCTGCCTAGCTTGCATCGTGGCCGATCCCTCGACTGCACATCTACCTCGTCTCGTCTCGCTTGCCTCTGCATCGTGATCCCAAAAACAGCCCACGCCACGCCGCGCCACCACGCGACGCGCTGCTTGCTTCCTTTCCTTCCCTTGTATTCTTTGGGGTTATCTTTCGCCGTTTTCCCGTGTAGCTCAATCTCGAATCTCTGTGTGTTCTGTGCTCCTACTTCTATTCCTACTTGCTCCGTTCCTATACCTCCGCCGTTCGCGTTCGTCTCACTATATCCCACTCCTCTACGTCTACATCTTACTCTCACTCACGCACACGCCCGATCGTTTCCTGTTCCTCCCTACTTTACAATTCTCTACTGTATATATGGGCTACTTGTCGTTTTAGGGTTTTCATTAGTTCCTCATCCTCGTCCTCTCTCTCGTCTGCTACTACTGCCTCACATTCTCTGGATACGAGTTGGTGTATCGAATATATCTATCGGGTATTCGCTCGGACGATGTTAAACTTGAAGATACTACCTACGCACCCAACAAATCGGGCGTGGTGTGCGGTACACCTCCACCTGCAGTTCACATTTCTGCCAAAATGGTCGGTGGAAGATCCGGGTTCGACTCCTGGCGTCCGAAATAGATTCCACGCGTAATCTTTTTTTTTTTTTTGTGCGGTGTTCCTCCTTTCGTTTTCCTCTGGTGTCGCTGTTTTACGCGAGAAGCCTGAGGGCAGGTTCAAGGAACTCGAACGGAACGTCCACCAGATATTCCTGGACAGAGGGTAAGGGAAGGGGCACAAAGCAACTGTGCAAATTCATACTCGACCGCGCAGAGGTCTCAGACTGAGTCCCACTTACAGAGAAAATTAGCAAGAGCAATGAATAGGCAGGGTACGACATGGGATAGAAATCGGACGTGGTGTGCGGCACACGTCCACCTCTTGTTGCAGCTTAGAAACTCAGTTGGTAGGTGGAAGTCCGGGTTCGACTCCTGGCGTCCGAATGTCGCTAAAATGCGGAGTTTTTTCGCTGGTGATCCTCCTTTCGTTTTTTCTGGTGTCGGGAGTGCCCAAGCACCACCCGAGGTCGATTTCAACCAACGGAATGTCCACCAGATATTCCAGGGAAGAGGATGAGGGACCCAACGGAGGGCATAACTTTGCGAATCCGTACTCAACCTCGTCTCAGTTCAACTTGCACATAAAGTCGGCGAGCAAGGGTAGGTATGCAGGGTACTACACAAGGAATCGGGCACGGTGCGAGGCACATCTCCATCTCTGTTGCAGCTCAAACACACGGGTAGGTGGACGAAATAGACTCGACGCTCAGACTTTTTTTTTTTTTTTTTCGTTTTTCACGCGAGGCACCCGAGGTCGAGTTCAAACAACGCAATGTCGCCAAATCGAGGTATACAACTAAGTGTTAGCTGGCTGGAGTCAGTGTGAGGTAAGAAGGATCAGATTACGGGATGTACCGAATCTTTCGATCTGCCATCAATTCGTCCTCGTTGCGTGCTGTAGTATAACGACTGAGTGTTCACGCTGTCACCGATGTCACCCGTCACCTACATGTTCATTTTTTCAAGTGTTCAGCAATCACGAGAAAATCAGTAATCCGGCATTTACCGGATGCGAAATTTTTACATTTTTCAGCCTATCTGAGCCGCAAAATCTCCCCGTCATCGTCACCTGTACCCAAAGTGTTCAGTTCAGAGGCTCCCATCACGCGTCACCGCAACACTCGGTCGTAATACTACAGTACTTCCATATACATCTCATCCTCAGTCTCTTTCTCTCAATTCCTCACTCTCTCAACTCATTTTTTGAGCCAACCTGCAATGCCTGCTGCCAACTCTAATGCTGGGGTACCTCTCCCTCTCCCAGACCCATTTGATTATGTGGCCTGAATGACCCTGCCACCGGACGCAAAAAATCCCTATGCTTATGGATGTGAAGACACACAACAAGTGCAATATCATCATCAACGTGTTTCAACCTCAGCATCAACATAACCTGTGCTCACATGGAGATGGACCAGATGCCGACGAAGCATTAGCATACCTCTTTGGATAAAAGGTCTCTTTCATTGAAATTACCAAGCTTACGAAGGATTGGGGTGGCGACAACATGATCAGGTTGAATTTGCTGTACACCTAGGCCGAGGTGGTGCAAAACTACCTGCTATACGTGTACAGTAGAATGTAAGTATTAAAGTAAAGTAAAGTAAAGTAAAGTGAAAGTAGTGAGTGGAGTATGGAATATGTATAAGTAGGTGGCCATGGGCTGCGTCCAATTTACTACCTTGTCACACCCCTTTGCTGGTAGCTGTACACAAAATCTTTCAGAGTCACTGCAAGACCGTAACCCAAAAAAAAACTGTCTACATATTTTCATAGGCCAGCCCCGAGTTGAACGGGTTACTCTGCTTCGAGATCCTGTGTGGTTCCCGCTTCAGATGCAGTCCAAGCACAACCAAGCCTTATTATTGAGCTTGATACAAATTCTTTTTGACACTGAATTTCATCGTTTGACTCCCAATCTCTGGTGTACCTGATCGACATGAAGCACATCATCAAAATGTGAACTTTCCAGGGTTAGTAATAGGCAAAGTCAGTCCATGAACCCCAGTGAAAACGCAGTATCGGGTGGGGTCGCCGGGTATCGGCTAGGCATCGCCTAGTATCATGGAGCATCGGAATAGCAAAAATCCACTCTTCCGATACTGGACGATACTAGGCGATGCCAGACAGTGCCAGACGGTGCAAAAATGGGACTCCATAGATACTTTTTATCGTCAAATATCGTCTGGTATTGCGTCGTACAGAATACATGATACTGCACGATACTTGCTGCCCTGCAGCGCTCCTGCTCCTCCCGCACGCCTGCCCGCCGCCACGCCCCTGCTCGTCCACCGTCACTGCGCCCGCACCCGCACCCGCACCCGCACCCGCCGCCCTCACTTCGTGCTCCGCGCTCTGCCTGCCTCCCCACTCCTGCTCACCCCACTGCTCTCGGCTGTCCACGCCTCCATGTCCTGCGCCTGCACCCGTGCCCGCACCGGCACCGGCACCCCTGCGGGGCTCTGCTCCATGCACACCCCTGCCCCGCCCCCGGCACCTGTACCTGCCCCCACCCCCGCCCACACTGCTGCCCGGTCCTGTTCGCCCCGCTCGTTTGTCCCGACCGCCTCTAGCATCCACCCACCTGCACCGATGGAAGGCGTTAGCGATGGAGGCGTCGACGCCGACGAGGTCAAAGTCGATGGAGCGGTTGGAGACGCAGCCTTGCGGATTGACCGAATAAACATTGATAGTGTGCAGATTAAAATGAGACGCACCTTGCGGAATTTGTGGAGGCTCGGTACGCTGGTCCTCGCCTGGCTAGTGGCCAGGGAAGCCTTTGCCCGAGACATCCGATATGCGCCCTGCCTTGATACCCACTAGCCGTCAAGAACCGAAAGCCATACAAGTTGGCCACCGCAGACAAGATAGGGAAGACATATGATGTGAAGACAGACCCAGAGACAGCCAGACGACGGGGAAACAACAGCAGAGAGGGTACCAAAGACGCAGAGGATGTGGTAGTCGAAAGAGAAGTGTCGACACAATACGTCACGGCCGTGATGTCATTCAGTGCACGGACCAATTCCGCCAAGTCCGGTTTGACTTACGACTTCAAATCGACAAGTTAAAACTTCAAATCGGCGGCCTCGAAAGTGGAGACCTAGAAATAGTGTAAAAAATTGGCTAGATTCCATGACATCATAGATAACTTGGACATGTCGCTAGCTCCACTTTCGAGCCCTCACGATACAAAGACGATACCCGCAGAGCCCACAAGAGCCAGCCGATACCGTGTTTTCACTGGGCATGAACACGGATTGGAGGACTCAGTCTGAACTTTGTTCGCTGATATCTGTTACTGCTTTCTGCATTGACGCGATCATGACAGATGGGGGGGTCCTGATGCGGGATACGGGAAATCCCCAGATGATGGTATTTAGATGTTGGAATTAAAGCTGCACACTGGATATTCAGCAATAGACCCTCGGCAAACATGCGGGGAATTTATTCAGTATCTAGAAGTATTTAAACACAAGTCTATAATTACTGTATGTAATTAGGTACAAATTTATCTTGTTGGTACCAGGGCAAGGAACAGGTACACTAATTGTGGCATTGTGTGCGCAGGTGTAAAATCATCCGCCAACATTAGAGTTGGGCAATAGAGACTCAATATTCTTCACCAGAGACTGAATTGTGGTGGCAATAACTCCCAAAAAGGGGGTGTTCAGGTTGTCTGAAAGAATTTCCAAGGTTTTCAGATTCACAGCGAAAAGAGCAGCAATATTTCCGGCAGCGAGTTTGGGGCATATTCGGTTGCAGGCAGTTCCTGAATTCTGATGGACATGAGCAATTTATAATTTATGCAGATGGTAGTGAGAGCGCCTACATTCATTGGCTGCTCATCTCTAGACATGAGATACAGAATGAGAAGACCGACGCAGCCGGCAAGTTTTGGTTTCTCTCTTTCTGACAAATACCGAACTTGAGGATGCTGGGACTAACATACGAATGCAAGCATAAATTTTTGAAGTGGAAACGCAGAGCACGCCTCCTCCACTCCATTAGTTCAAGGAAAGGAATATCTCCCAAAATAACTAGTGCCTCCCAGCTTTCAGGGTCAGAAAGAAGTTCGACCTGCAGTCACTCTGCCCCAATCAGACACCTGGAATCAACCTGGAATGCTCCCTGCAGTTCACGGGTTTACGAGGGCCGGGAGAGTTCGGTTATTGGTCGAAAGACATCTAGCACTGGAAAGAGAGCAAGGCGCCCAGCCCGGCATGCCAATAATATCTAACATCACCAGAAACTTTGAGCTTTGCCCCGCGGTCTAATATTCAATGTACTAGCGAACCAATTTGAATTTTGAACCAAAGCAAGCATCATCCCCATAAAGGATGGTCCTCTTCTCTTTTCACCGGAGCTCCCTAATAGGAGACTTGAAACTTGAAACAAAGTTGATTGACACTGCAATTAGCAGCACCTTCCACACTTTTCGTTTCGACCGTGAGCAGCGGGCATCATCCTGTCCAAATCCTGTCCGACTTCGTGATATATCCGACAGAAAATTCAGTAGATCAAGAGCAGAACCCGACTCAGAGGCTTGTCATCCCCAAGGGCGTTCGAATCTGTCAAAAAATCCACTGATGCCGCTTTTTTTTTTGAAAACGACCCCGCCTGGAAACACATTCTAGCGTAGTCTCTGTTACAGAACCGACATACTGATGTCGAGCAAGTAGGAAAATAGGTCCAAGTCCATGAGCACTAATTAGAGGACTCAGTCTGTAGATGAACTTTGTCTACTGGCATCTGTTGCCGCTTTCTGCGCTGACGCGAGCATGACCAGTGAAAAGATTCTGATGAAAGACGTTTGTTCGAGCGACGTTCAAGCACAAGAGATCCCGGGATGACGGAATTTCAGAGCTGGGCAATAAGAAAGCAGCACATATAGCATCTACTACGTATTCAAACGGCGCTCCGCGCAACCCTGGGACCGAGTGTTCCCGATCCATGCACCCTAACAGAATAATAAGACATTCAGCTTCACATCTAGCTACGAAGGCGCTACGGCCTGG